AGGCCAGAGGGTGTTTTGAAGGAGGGTCTTCCTTGGGCCTTCCTGCTGGAGCCTTTCCACTTTGAATTCAATAGTCATTGAGAGAGAGACTCAAGAACATGGTGGGGACACACGTCGACTCCAGTCCCTGATCCCCCGTCTCTAATTAGGCTGCAGAGAGATAAATTGGCTTTTTTTAAAGGTTATACATCAAACTAATGCAAGGTGTAGAACTGAGGAGTTGTTACTTCTAAAGTCTTCTCCTGGCTGTCTCCATACCCCTAAAGCCAGGGCAGCTAAGGCAATTGTGTGTACCCGCTGACCCTAAACAGAAAGCTGAGAAACTCATCCCTTCCGAAAATAATCTGGACATGATACTGCACCCCCCGCACAAGGAAAAAAAAAAGACAAGTAATTGTAAACCTTACACAATCTTACCTCTGTCTTGCAGCACTTGTCATCTTGCATTAAGCATGAATAACTAATCAACTAAACACAGATTCACTGATGAAAAGAAACCCATATTGGATGTGGTACGTGAGATGGATACAACCGACGTTTTAATTTCACTGGTAAATAGCACTACAGAGGCGCAGCTTAACCTTTCAGATGAAGGAGGCGATTGCTGTGCTTTAAAACGCACCCTAAAGGGTAGGAGGTGATCATGGACTTAAAGGAGGCAAACAAATATTTCATGTATCCGAGTGTGTTTGCTCTGCCTCTCGCTGCCCTGCACTTGTGCACCTGCTTACCCAGTGCAAGCTGCGTGTGAAATGTTATTGCAGTGCTGGGCCATCCCTTCGTGCAGGCTGAGCTTGACTGGGGGGGTGGCGAGCTCCTGGATTGCTGGAAGGGATCATTTGATCCGACCTCATGCATATCACTAGCCAGTACCTCTTTTCTCTGCATTGAGCCAAACATCCTGTGCCCATAAAAGCATTGTCCTCACATGAAGATCATCTCAAAAGATGGGGAATCCACTCGACTCCCTTGATAGCTTGTTCCAATAATTCCCTATGAGAAATTTGCGCCAAATTTTCCCCGTGAAATGTGTCTGGCTGGCTTCAGCTGCCGGAGAGACACGTTTAGCCAAATTAAGTCTGCAGTCAAGTAGAAGGCAGGGTAGATCGACATCTTCTAGACTAACCAAAGTAGATGCATATATGCATATAGACCAAGACATTGGTTCTTGCCATGCCTCTCTGTGCTAAGTGGAAGAGCACTGCAATGCTTGGTGTTTCCTCCCTGTTAGGGACCCTTACACTAAATCAAGTCACCTCCCAGCAGTTTTCTAGTTGTCTTGTTTTTTTGTAAGATAGCTGGCACGTGAGCCCAACCCGTTGTAAATACCAAGCGCAGACAGGGCAAACGGTGACTTCAGTTCAGTGGCGCTGGTGAACTGAACTCAGCCCCTTCCTTCAACACAGACCTGCGTTTTAGCTCGATATATCACAGGATTTTACCACCACCTCTTTATCTCATTGTAAATGTGCGTTGGGCTTCCTAGGCAGACGGGATTCTTTGGGTAGATGGGATATCTTCTATTGGGCCAACTAAATAGTCGGAAAAATTGTCCTTTGCAAGCTTTCAGGCACAAGCACCCTTCTTTGGGCAGAGGTAGAGTCGGCTGCTGGTTTGTGTTCTCCTGGATGGGCTAGCAGCCAATATGTGACGAGACGATCAGGGCCAATATACTGTACTGCTGTCTTTCCCGCGATGCTAAAACCCCTCTAGTCTTTATACAGATCTCGTGTGCTTGTTCTTTTCTAGGCTGTTGATACTTTTTGCAGTGTTCTCAGCTTAGCGAACAGATTACTCAATGGCACTGAGGTTTATCGTTAGGTTTGGTCAGAAAAGCACTTTTGTGCCAGTATAACTGCATCCAGACTAAGGCGTTTTTACTTCTTTTAAGTGTGCTGGTTTCCGATTTGCACGAGGCCATGAAGGCAGTCGGAGCTGAACCTGGATCTCCGCTGGCCAGGCCACCAGACCCT